TTGGTGTCGTATAATTATCGTTTTACTTACATTACACATCCTTTCCAAAATATGTGACGTGCCAACTTTTCGCGTCTGAATGAAGCGTGCGATAAAAAGGTGGCAAGGGGTATTATGTGCGACGTATGTGAAAAATGGGTTCACCAAAAATGCTCAGGGGTCTCTTCGGAGATCTACGCCCCGTACAGTAAACACAGTGGACTGGAATGGGTGTGCAATGGTTGCAAAACGATTGCGCGCCACCGCAGAGCCCAAGGTACTGTCCCCGAAAAGTCACTAAAACTGACCGAGACAAAACGAGTGGAAAGTAAGATTGTGATGGCTGAAGAAGTGTCGGCCAAAACTCATGCTGAGGAAGTGAGAAAAACACCAAGCAAACGTGCTCAACCAACTATTCAAAGGAAACCAAACGCTAACATTGCGAAACCCAAGCCGAAATCAGTGAAACTGCACATCGTCAAGTGAGTCCAGGGCACTCTGAGCAACAGTCTGCACCACATCGAAAGTGAACTGCACAAATTGCGTGCAGAGGTAGCCTCGATTAAAGCTGTTAGGGAAAATAGAGTGTCCAGGTGCAACACATTAATGGTCCTCAATAAAGAGGAACCAATAATCAAGAGGTATAAAACTGGGCGAAAAATGAATCGCCACCGAGTGGCGGATATACTTCGACTGGTAGGTTTAGATACAAAATGCCACATAAAAAGGATACACAGAGTAGGTGTTTGGAAGCAGCCAAACCCGAACGGGGTGACCGCGGCCCGACCGATTCTAGTGGAGTTCGGAGAGGCGAGACCAATGGACATGTTCTTGTCAAAAGCATCCCTTGTGAGTCAGCAAAGAAACGGGGGATACAGCATAGCCCCGGACAACCCAAGACCGCATGGGAAAGTAGAGCATAAGGAGCCCAAATGGATGAATCAGAAACCAGGGTAGGCAGCTCACGGCAAACACCACAACGGAAACGAGGTGGTCATTATAGAAGACATAATGCAAGAAGATGATGGAAGACATGCTTGCCGACCAGGTCGGTAACGGAAGATGAACAAAAAACTGTTCAAACGTCCACACCACTGCAGAGGACGCCTATGGAAAAACCGATCGACTCCGAAATTAGAAGGCGCAGGACACTTACTAAAGAAGACCCCAAAAAAGCGGGTTCAGAGTGTACGTCAACCAATTCGCACTTGAGTGAGTCGCGGCCGAAACCGAT